CTTGCTCTGTTTGTGCCGGGGCACAAACAGAAAAAGCCTGAATTTTGCCTGAAACTCTCAGACTGAAGAAGTCTCTTGGAGAAGAGACGAAACGTTTCATTAGAGAAGAACCCGTCCAGAAGACCTATACAAATTTTTTTCCTTTTGATTTTTTACCTGGATTACTGAGATGCATCAGGACATTTTTTATTTTATGTTTTAATTATGCTTTATTGATCCCCTGGTGGAGAAATTAATTCTCTGCATATTTCCCATTGAACGTGTGAGCGGTGGGATTTAAAATGTCTAATCTGGCATTTCAAATCTGGGTTTTTTGATGTTTAATTTTGGCTTTTAAATGTTGAATTTCAGATTTTTGGTTTCACTTCTGTATAATCCCTAAATTTCAAATACCCAAGCTTTCAAATTTGGAGTCTTAACAAACTTTCTCTGAAACTTTGCATAAACTTGTCAAAGAAAATAGCTGGATAGAAAAAAAACTGTAAAACATCTAAAGTGTGCTTGTTTGTTTTTCCTGCAGCAGTGACTCGATGCTGACAGACAGAAYGGAGAACAAGAAAGAAAAAGTCATGCAAGAGGAAATCATCACAGCACAATCTGCATCAGACAAGAGTCGACATGAACAAATCTGTCTCCACTGACATGGACAGGAATATGTGCAACGAAACTAATCAATGAAGACTTAAAAACACCTCATTGTGACTTATTCTAATCAATGGTTCAAGATGTAACATTAGTTTTACTTTCAGGTTTTGTTTTATTTGGTGTTGGTTCCTTTATTTTTGTCTGCGTTTTCAGATAAACGTTATTTAACGTTTCACGAAGCTAAATCTTTCCTCAAATTTAACGGTTTTTGCATTTAAGTTCATTATTATTCRTTGACCTGTTTTTAAATGACAACAAATTGAATCAATTAAAGGATAAAGATAGAGGAGATTATAAGATACACATGGGCTCATCTTCATGTTTGTCACAATCAAGTGTAAAAACTCCTGACATCCTGGAGAATGCAGTTTAGGAGCAGATGGCCGTCTTTCATGGGTTTTAAAGGGGTGTGAAATAGTTAGAATTTGAACAAAGTATAGTTGCACAACTTTTTTCTCTTTTCTAAAAACATGATTTCATGGGAACTTTGTWTGCTTAGTTTGGACTCTTCTGGAACTTAAACAATAAACTTCACTAAAACTTTAACTGATTGATGGTTGGACCAGGGGTCGCGTTAACGCGATATTTTCCATATTTCACCTTGTTTTTTACATGGTGATGGAAAAACCTGAAGRCCGTCCGTCACTTTGACAGATTGCAGTTAACTCCCCTGAGCTTTTAAGTCTAGATGACTTAATAAATAATCCAGGTGAGGTGGAGAAAAAAAATTAAACGAGGCTTCACAAGACGGCTCTGTGGCATCACACTCACACATGGAGACATTTTCTGTTTTAYGCAYGGAGCAGGTCYACATCATGGAGGYGTCTKAWTTTATCTAAAATAACTAAAAGGTTCCATCTGAGCATCATGTCAGATCTAGACACCAAACTGACTGCATCTCCAGGAGCTGACAGCGCAGTGAAGAGACAAGGACAGGAGGCTTTGGAGCAGGGGTGGGCAATCCTGGTCCTGGAGGGCCGCAGCCCTGCATGTTTTACTTGCTCCTCTGCTCCAACACACCTGGTTTGAAT